CATAGTTGATTGGTTAAGTTGCATTACCTGGGACTGAAATGTTCAAGGAAAGCTCTTTTCATGCTGAGCTGGTCAAAATTACCGCAGCTGATCACAGTTGAAAGTCAAATGGCTTGTGTGCCATTGAGAAGGTGATTAGCTACACCTGATTGTGTTTTACAAGTCATTTTTAGGAGGGGGTGATCCTTTTTTCAACTCAGTGATTCTGTTTTTTTTATTTTTAGTTTTTTTTCTGACCTGTTGGTGTTATATCTTTCACTTGGAAGTTATAAGTTGCACTGAGTAAATACAGCTGGATAAAACAAAACTGTGTCTTCATTTCAGGGTGCAAAGCAACAAAATGTGATTATTTTAAAGGGGGATGATTCTTTTCCTACCCACTGTATGTGTTGCTTTTTACCAAAAACCTCTTTGTTCCTTCTCCCTGCTTTGAAACAAAGAGATCATTTCCTCTGTACAAAACCCTGTGTTGATTGTCAACACAGGGTTTTGGGCTGTGATTAGACACAGCCGATCAGCATTGATGATCCATGAATCGTTGGCCAGGACCTGCTGACAAACTCCCACTGTGTACAATTTCAGCGGGTTTGGGAGTACGCCCTGTACCAGAGAGAGGCCAGCGACTTGCAGAACCTTAAGAGGTTAAAAAATTAACCTTAGTGTTACTAAAGCCACAACAGTAAAATCAGTCTGTATATGCAGTAAAGCATGCTTGTTATGCAGGCCATAGATGGGTCGAAAATCGGCCGATTTGTCAGCCGAAAATAAAATCGGCCGATTTTCGGATCGTTAGTGGGCGATTTTTGGTCGGCCGTTTTCGGTATTTTGGCCGTTTTTGTTTTTTCGGTAAAGTTGGAAAAAAAATCGGCTGATTTTGCCGATCGATCGGCCGATTTTCGCGGCAATTAGTGGGCAAATCGGCCGATTTTTTACCGATAAAAAATCTGCGCATGAGCAGTGACCTGCAAGAGGAAGACAAAAAGAAGAAAAAGAAGAAGAGGAAGAGGATGAAGAAGAAGAAGAGGAAGAAGAGGATGAAGAAGAAGAAGAAGAGGATGATGATGAAGAAGAAGAGGATGATGAAGAAGAAGAGGATGATGATGAAGAAGAAGAAGAGGATGATGAAGAAGAAGAAGAAGAGGATGATGAAGAAGAAGAAGAGGATGATGAAGAAGAAGAAGAGGATGATGAAGAAGAAGAAGAGGATGAGGATGATGAAGAAGAAGAGGATGAGGATGAAGAAGAAGAGGATGAGGATGAAGAAGAAGAAGAGGATGAGGATGAAGAAGAAGAAGAAGAGGATGAGGATGAAGAATAAGAAGAAGAAGAGGATGAGGATGAAGAAGAAGAAGAAGAAGAGGATGAGGATGATGAGGATGAAGAAGAAGAAGAAGAAGAAGAAGATGAGGATGAAGAAGAAGAAGAAGAAGAGGATGAGGATGAGGATGAAGAAGAAGAAGAAGAGGATGAAGAAGAAGAAGAAGAGGATGAGGATGAAGAAGAAGAAGAATTCCAGTCCAGCAAAAAGTATCTCTGCAGAGAGCTCCGCTATTTCTGACAGTTCTCTGACAGTTCTTTGACATTTACAGCGGTTGAAACATTGTATCTATTTGTTTCCGAATAAAAACATCTGTATCCTAAATGGAAACAAATAGATACAATGTTTCAACCGCTGTAAATGTGAAGGAACTGTCAGAGAACTGTCAGAAATAGCGGAGCTCTCTGCAGGGACACTTTTTTGCCAGCTGTAGAAGGGATGAAAATCGGCCGTTTTTTTATTACCATTGATGGTAACGTCGGCCGCTTGAACGACCGAATTTTCGTTTTTTAAAAGAAAAATCTGCCGTTTTTTCTCCCCATCTATGGCCTGCATTATACTTACTGAGGAATCTAAGGGGTTAATGCATAGAAACCAATCTGTTTCCAGGTTTTTTTGTTAAAGCCTAATTGAACAAGTTGAAGTTAGAAGCTGATTGGCCACTCCCCAGTTTTAGTAAATCAACCCCTGTATGTCCTACTATAGGACTAAAGATTTAGAAGCTTGACTTTGCCATTGTATGTTAAAGAGAGGAATCTCAGTGGGGTGGGTTTACTAAAGCCAAATAGACTGTGCAGTTGCACTAATTTCCCACAGAGCTTTAGTGGTTGGAAAGGCTTGCTTTTTCTTTTTCTTAATATAACAAACCTATCATACTTCCCTGCTGCAAGGTACTGCACAGAGTGGCTGCTTACCTCCTTTTCTGGGGCCCTCTGCTGGCACCCTCCACTCCTACGAGTGCCTTCTCAGTAAACTGTGTGCTGAGGGGGCACTTGTGCAGGTTGTTCCTGAGCCAGGCTGTGTGTCCATAGACCTATACAGCACCGTTCGGCTCCACCCCTGCTCCCTCCTCACTGGATTTGACTGACAGTAGCAGGAGCCAATGAGGAAAGGATAAGAGCAGCACTGCTGTATTTGTGTACAGCACTGGATTGAGACAGAAGCCATTTGGGGGTGGAAAAGAAGCAAGTCCACCTTTTTGGAGAGCATTACACATTTACACCCATATTTAGGGTAACGTGTAACATGCTCCAGATCTGCCCCCGTACCTGCACTCCTGATCCCCTCACCTGTGACAGTGGGTGGAGGACCCTCTCCCGGCTGTTACATTTTGAAAAAAAAGTGCGGCTGTGCAGGGCTCCAATTGCACAGCTGTGTCCAATCCACAAACATGGCAGACAGCTTGTAGTTGTTCTATAGGATTTATATAGCTCCAACGTTGCACAGAGTTTTACAATATAAAGGGGGACAGTACAATTCCAATACAGAAGGAATTGGAGGGCCCTGCTCATGATCTAAAAGATTGCTCTCAATGGTTCTCAGTGGACCGTACGCTTGTAATCCATTCACACTGCCTCTGTTACAACCTGTACAGAGGTATGGGAAAAAGAGCTGCAGGCAGTGTATGCAGTAACCTGACAATGCTCTGCAGGCTCCTGCAAAAATGTGAGCATTTATTTATTTTTTCAAAAAGGTGAACTTATTGAAGTTTTTTGCAGGGAATTAATTAGGATTAGAAATGCCTTGATTTTATAACCACTTTAGTAAATGTGGTAAAGCTCTGCTGATTTCCATCATCCAGTCACGAGAGATGGAATTGCTTCTCATTTCAAATTGTTCAGCATTGTAGCTTGCAATATGCTCAGAGCCCTGCTCCAAACAAACATCTAAAAGGTAAGAAATATATTTTTAGCTATGCTGTTTTAATGGGAACATATAACACATATAGTGAGGTTTTCTCAAATTTGACTGCAGATGTAAAATACAGTTTAAGAACTACATTTCTGGAAGGTCAGCATGCTGTATAGTTTTCTGCTGTAACACTTATAGTGAAATGACGGCCGGGCAGGACATTCTCCATTCTGGGTGGACATTAGATGACGTCCACTCCAGAAGATGCATCATGCAGCAGATCACAGTTGTACACATCAGGATTGATCGATTTTCAAATATTTTTACCATAGTTTGTGGACACTATTCTAAAGCTTTACTACAGACTAACAAATCTACACTGTTTTGGGTTATTGTCACCAAAAAAATTTAGTACTATACATTTAGGCCTAGATTTATGAAGAAAGGATTATTTATTTGCAAAATGTTAAAACAAACTTTTTTTTTTAAACAAAAAAAAAGTGGTGGTTAAATATCCCCAAAAGAAAACTCTGTGTGAAAAAAAGATAAAGATATATCATATGGGTACAGTGTTGCATGACTGCACAATAGCACCAGCACTGAAAGCTGAAAATTGGCCTGGACAAGAAGGGGGTAACAGTGCCTGGTATTGGAGTGGGTAAAAAATAATTCACCTCTTAATCCAGGAACATTCTCAACTGTATTTCTGATACATGTTTTTCCAGTTTTTATGTCCTGATAATGCACCATTGCATAAAAATATCATGCAGGATGGCCTAAAACAAAGATGAAGCTATGTGTAATATTATGACTGCCAAATGTATGGAATTTTTGTAGTAATGGAAATAATACTTGCATGTCTGATTCTTTGCCTTGTGTTGGGATTTTATGCATACAACTAATTCAAGAGTAAAAATGTTTGCTATAGGGGTGGTGATAGGCCATGTATTTAATCGAAAGAAGGCGCTGTCAGGAAGATACTCTTTCTATTTGAGCAGTTATCTGCTTGTCAAGGAGCACCGTGGCAGGTGACATGACCTCAAATGAGTCTCCGGATCTAAGTGACATTTGATATTCATGAGAGCTCCTGAAGGTGGAGATGGCCTGGAAACCCTAGTGATTGCAGTTTACTTCACTGCAAACTGTCGCCAGGTTGTGGCCCTCAGTAGAACTTCACCAATGGGATAGCAAGAACAAAATGCATGTTGTGGATATTCCACACTAAGTGGCAGGAAAAAGGATAGTCAGGTCCTGGCAAGGGTCTTGGTAGACAGCAAACAAGAGAGTACTCAGGTCCAGGCAGACGTTAAAGGCAGACAAATCAAGAGAATAACGAGGTCAATCCGGGTCTCATGGGGAAGTATTACAGCTCCTTGAACAAGAGTAGCTGGTGATAAAACAGAACTAGCCATTTTAAAAATAGAAGCTTAACCTCTTCACGCCAGCCGCACACAAATGTGCGGCCTCCCAGCATCTGGGCCTAGACGCAGAGCGGCCGCACATTTGCGTGCATTAACAAAAAACATATGTGCTGAGAGCGCACACTCTGTAGGTCACAGCATAAGCCAACAAGTTTAAAAATGTAATTTTAAAATTGAAACATTTTTGAGACCTCAAAATGTATGCTGGGACGCCATGGGCTCTGCTCCTAGGTAAAAGGTCACATGTACAACCTTAAGCTGTGATATACTGACATATTAAGTGATAGACTATCAGGCGCAATTAATGTAGCCTAGCTGCTACAATTATTTATTTTTTCCTGAAAAGCCTTTGGAATGGCACAGTAAGAACTATGTTCATACTATTTAATTTGCTGTTCATGGTTATGCAGGGGATATGAAACTTATATGGACTGGGAGAAAGGTGAAGGTCGGCCATTTGAATATAGTGTCTATGGGGCTGCCTGTTCTGAGGTGGAAGTCGACTGCCTAACAGGAGATCATAAGGTAAGTCATTAAACTTAATATTGTATATTGTAAAGTACAATTGGAGTCAGTTGAAGGCAGAGATACAGATTCCCAGTAACAAGCCTGTTGTTTTCCTACTTAAAGCAAAAGAGTAAGATAGATAGATAGATATATATATATATATATATATATATATATATATATAATCATGACATATATGTAAAAAAAGAAAATTGCAACTGATCGTACACAGGACGCCAACTCACTGTGGCCAAACCTAAACCAGGTAATGTAAGATGGCTTCAGCACTGTTCTCCACTTGCAGGAGAGGTTCCTCAGATGCGTTTCACCCCTTTAGTGGGCTTAACCATTGAGACCTCAACAATTAAGTCCACTAGGGGGCCAAACACATCCATGGGACCTCTCTTACGGGTGGAGAGCAGATCTGAAGCCATCTTATATTACCTGGTTTAGATTTGGTCACAGAGAGCCGGTGTACTGTGTGAGATCATTTGCCATTTTTCTGTAGCATACTGTAACCTGAAAAGCTGTTTTATACAATCTGCACCGGTTCATTGCATGCCATGTTGGCTTATATCAGTGTTAGGAGCATTAGAGTAGTACTTTTTTGTTTGTCTACATATGATAAGCAAAGGCTGAATGATGAGCATTGCTGGTTCAAGGTCATCCAACACCTAGGACAAACACACCGAACTGTGCCCCCCCCCCTCCCCCTCTGTGTTATGGGACATGGATAAGATGATTGGGTGCACACAACAGAGCACAATCATACCTATGTACCAGGGTCGGATTTAGCCTGTCTGATGTGGGGGTGTAGTAAAAAGAGTCGGGGGGGCAGAGTATGGGAGTTTAGCAGGGCATTGTACAGGGGGTCAGCACGGCAGAGGACAGGGTCAGCAGTTTGTAGGGCAGTGTACAGGAAGTCAGCAGGACAAAGGACAGTTGGTCAGCAGGGCAGTGTACAATGAGTCATCAAGGCAAAGGGAGGTCAGCAGGGGATCAGTAGTGCAGTGCACAGGGGGATCCCTGCGGAGAGGCAGAGGACAGGGGGATCACTGCTCTCAGGGCTCTTAGCAGAACTCCCTTCCCCTCTCTGCACTGCATGTAACTGAGATCATATTCCTTTTCACACAGCCACATTCTGCTGACTTTGTAACTGGCTGCTATGTTGCAGTTCTGCTTTGTGATATTCCCTGTATGGAATGGCAGTACAGTTCTAGTAGCCACCTACACACTGCAGATCGTGTGTGTAAAGGAATACGTGAGGGGAGGAGGAGCTGTGTGCAGGGAGGGAAGATGTTGCTCAGCAGCCCACACGGCATCCAGAGCGGGAGGGGGGGCACGACTGAAACCTGGGGGGGGCATAGCCCACCCCAGCACCTCCCCTAGATCCGGTCATGCTATGTACAGGATGCAGAAGCCAGTACTGGATGCATTTACAGTGCAATGAGTCAGGAGTAAAGGTAATGTACAGAGTGCAGGGGTCAAGACTGGTTAATATACAGAGTTCAAGAGTCAGGAGGATATAACATACAGAGTACATGGACCAGGAGTATGTAATAAACAGAGTGCAGGGGTCAGGAGTGGATACCATACACAGTGCAAGAGTAAAAATAATGCAGAGAGTGCAGGACTGGGTAACATACAAAGTATAAGGGTAAAGAGTATTTAAAGTAAAACTTGCAGAGGTCAAGAGTGGGAAATGTACAAAGGGCAGGGGTCACGTGTATACACCCTAGCGTAAAGAGTTGGGCTTTAGGCTGGCCTATTGGGTCAGTACACCACACCCCTTGCAATTTATACTCAACATTTCAAATAGGTTTCCACATATACATCATATCTTTTTAAAAATAGATTTTTAATCATATATATACAGTTGTGTTCAAAATAATAGCAGTCAGACATCACTAACCTGATCAATAACCTCTTTTTGGTAGAAATAATATTTTTACATGGCAAATAATTTACTAGCAGGTATAGTAGAGTAATAGAAATCCAACAGACCCAACAGTCATGACATGCATGCTGCTGATTCTGTGTAATTGAATCACTAATTGAAAGGGGCATGTTCAAAATAATAGCAGTGTGGAGTTCTATTAGTGAGGTCATTCATTCTTTGAAAAACAGGTGGCAATTATTGCCCTTATTTAAGGAAGGAAGGCAGCAAATGTTGTACATGCTGGTTACAGTGCATTTCTCTCTGAAATTCTGAGGAAAATGGGTCGTTCCAGACATTGTTCAGAAGAACAGCGTACCTTGATTAAAAAGTTGATTGGAGAGGGGAAAACATATAAAGAAGTGCAGAAAATGATAGGCTGCTCAGCTAAAATGATCGCAAATGCTTTAAAATGGCAACCAAAACCTGAAAGATGTGGAAGAAAGCGAAAAACTACCATTCGAATGGATAGAAGAATAGCCAAAATGGTAAGGACTCAGCCAACATTCAGCTCCAGGAAGATCAAAGAAGGTCTAAAGTTACCTGTGAGTACTGTTACAATTATAAGACGTCTATGTGAAGCCAAGTTATCTGCAAGAAGCCCCCGCAAAGTCTCACTGTTGAAAAAAAGACATGTGCTGAAGAGGTTACAATTTGCCAAAGAGCACATTGACTGGCCTAAAGAAAAATGGCGCAAAATTTTGTAGACTGATGAAAGTAAGATTGTTCTTTTTGGGTCTAGTGGCCGGAGACAGTTTGTCAGACAACCACCAAACACTGAATTCCAGCCACAGTACACTGTGAAGACAGTGAAGCATGGTTGCGCAAGCATCATGATATGGGGATGTTTCTCATACTACAGTGTTGGGCCTATTTATCACATACCAGGGATCATGGATCAGTTTGAATACATCAGAATACTTGAAGAGGCCATGCTGCCTTATGCTGAAGAGGAAATGCCCTTGAAATGGGTGTTCCAACAAGACAACGACCCCAAACACACCAGTAAACGTGCAACATCTTGGTTCCAGACCAACAAGATTGACGTTATGGAGTGGCCAGCCCGATCTTAATCCAGTAGAAAACTTGTGGGGTGACATAAAAAATGCAGTTTCTGAGGCAAAACCAAAAAATAGAGAAGACCTGTGGAATGTAGTCCAATCATCCTGGGCTGGAATACGTGTTCACAGGTCCCAGAAGTTGGTTGACTCCTTGCAACACAGATGTACAGCAAGTCTCAGAAACAGTGCTTATACAACTACTGTAAATATTAATTGATTTAAAGGAAAGAAAAATCTTCAAACATTTTTCAGTTTATATAGTGAATGTTTGAGTTTGTCAAGAAAAATACAGACACTGCTATTTTTTTGAACAGTCTAATATTCACTTTTCTTCAATTTTTTTAGAGGAACAACACACATTTGATATATTTTTCTTCATGTTTTGATTAGGAATAGAATGTGTAGTGTTCCCAATGTACTTGTGTGTATGGAAATAAAAACTATTAGAAGGATTTTGAGCTTTATTCACTTTTTTCAACACACTATTATTTTGAACACAACTGTATATTGTGTATAAGGAATACATCTAGACTATGAAGCACCTGAAGAGTCTCTGTATGTTTCTAACCAATTGGAAATGTTGAATTTCTCTTTCGTAAACCCGTGCTGCAGGATATAGTGCCGGTTTACAGCACAGCATGGTAGAGTTTGGAAGGGGGAGCAGCTCAGAACTCACAAGTGCAGCAGATAGTCTTCCTTATGTACTCTGACATATTGATCCTGACTGGTGATTGCTGGGCTGGAGACAGTAATCAGTACTGCTGTATCTAGGAATATGATGCATTTTCTCCTCCCCTCTCCATCCATCTATTATACTGCTAGGACCTTGACAGCAGTCAAAGTGGAAACCGAGTGTCCTTCTGCTTTCTGGGCCCAGGTGTGGCTGCTGCCACAAAGAGGAGACATGCAGTGGGTATAGGCACAGCCTCAGCTTTGTTTGTGTGCAGGCTGTAGCAGTGGCAGAGGTCAGGGCATGGGGTGTTGTGACAGACAAAGTATTTTGTGGACAGTTTTTCTCCTGCAGTTCGCAACCAGACTTCCCCCTTCCCTCCTGAAAACATTGCGCCTGGGGCAGCTGTCCCAACTGTCCCCCTTCTTTGTCCCAGCCATTATGATGGCTAATTGAAGATAAAATGATGGGCAGCTAATTACTCTGCAATATAAGTAAACCATTCATATGTGGCAGCATCTGTACTGCCATTGCAGGATGTGGTGATTCTGTGTAATTTATTATATTTAACAAATTCTAATATACAAGTTTTCTATTTGACAGAACATCAGAACAGACATTGTAATGGACACTGGTTGCAGCATTAACCCAGCTGTGGATGTAGGACAGGTACTGTATGTTGCATTCAAATGTGCAGAAAAAGTGCATTTCCAGTAATCCTCAACAGCTATGATCTGCTCTCCAGCATTTGACAAGCAGGTGTAGTGGCCAACACAAAGCAGTCTGTTTTGGATTATGGGATTTTGGGAAAATGGCCCTAAAAAAACTTTGGAGGGCCCTAACAACAACCTGTGCAAATATTCCAGGGACTTCCAAAGCTTTTTGCAGACTTATAAAAGTATGTGCAGGCATCTTTTTGTGATATAGTTAAGAAGACCCCAGACTTTAAATATCTCTTAAACCGGGTGAGGAAAGCATACTTATGTATTGTGAAAGTGCTGGGCCTTGTCACTGCGTGAGTATAAGGAACAGATACACAGTGTTCGCACTAATGCAGAGGGTGGGACTCGCTTAAATTTAGATAAGTGTGTTGGCAAGCCTTAAAAAGCACAGTTTTGACAGGCATGGACTCGCTACTAACACCTCTACCCCTGGGCTGAATTCCCCAATATCACAGTACACAATTGTTTGTTTTGTAAAATTCTCTAGCTGGCAGGTCACAACACAGATAGGGCAAATACAAATGGAGAATATAAATTAACAGCAAACTCTATGCGCTTGTTCTGCTTCTTGAAAAATCCAAAGCATCCCCAATGAAGCTATTAGTATTTCTTCTCCCAATGACCTCATGATGTGAAAAAAAAGATTGAGTTTAAATGAAAAAGTACATTTATCCATGCTATTCAACAGTATCTCTAGGCAAAACCTTTTTCCTCCTGGTGCCTCGATGGCAGCATACCTGTGATGAGCTCCCTCAGGACTAGTGAATATCATAAAAAGAAAGGATTAAGGTACCCCCAGCATTCCCCTCCTTTTTTTTTCCCCCTCATAACTCATGTTCAGTGAATGGAGGTCGAGTGTCCTTACCTCTCCCATCAGCAGCCTCTCCCAAATGCAGTCCCAATTCTTGAGCAGCTAATGCTCTAAGATAGGGAGCCCCTTCTGTGGGTCATTTGGGACAGCAGTTGTCTTAGTTAAGAGCAGTATACCTCCTAAGTAAGTAAATGGATTTCATTGAAGCCTGGGTCAGAGGGAGCAGCTATACATCCTTGGCTTCTCCGGTTTTCTCCCTATGCTACCTCTTATTTATTTTTTTTCTTTTTATTTTTTTTCCTCTTGAGTTCCCCACCTATTTTATCTTTCTTATCTGGTCTCCTGTATCTCTTTTTCCTATCGCAAGCGTTGTGTCCCGCGCTGGCCTTTTGTGCCGGTTGCTCCTTGCCGGTTTTGCACAGGCATCCAGAAGACAGTGCGACTCGGGTGGTTGAGTGGGTTCTAGCACCGATGGATGGCGCATGCGTGATGTGGCCAGAAGTCGTGGTGGCCATCTTTGATGAGGGATAACAAGCTTTTTACCCTCACGTAGTTTCTTTCAGAAAGGTGGATTTTTCACGGTTTTCCCCACCTCTTTCCACTACTTCTACCCCAGGAGCTTCAGAATAGCCTTCTGCTACTTTTGGGACAGCTGGCCTTTGCTGAGAGCTCCTGGGAGTGCCTCTGGTGACCACCTGTGATAGATTTTTTTCCAAGAACCCTCTTTCTTTTATTTTGGAGATGCCAACTCAACGTTCCTATTTTTTTTTTTTTTTCTGGTTGCTTTTTCTGCCCTTTGCTTCAAATGAGCCGTTAGCGCCCGAACAAGACCCTTCCCTTCCTCTAAGATAAAGGCCTCGTAAGTTTAAAAAAAAAAAAAAAGTATGCTTATGCTAGTACATTTATGTATTTCAGGCCTGTGTGTCAGAAGTCCAAGGAGACATCCAGGCGCCATGAAGAATTCAATGAAGTAAGCCCGAGCCTAGGTCAATCATCCAGCTCCAAATACCATTCAAGAGGAGGTTGTTCATTTGCAAAAAGACAACAGTCCTCAAACTCCCCAAAGCTCAGACCCCAAAAGTGCTGAGCATGCAGAGCCACCCTTTTGCTGGACAAATTATTCTTCAGAGACTATGCTGCAGAAAGCGAGTCGGAGGGTCAACAAGTTACAGACCTACTTAAAAAGATTGTAATAGGTTTCCTTGCAGAACTGGAGGCAGCTATTCTATCACAGCAATTGACACAGCTCTCTCAAGCAGAACCAGCAGAAGCAGCAGACGCAGCTCTGCCGGGTCCATTCTCCGAACTTTCTCACCCCATCGCAGGTAATCCTTATATGCAGTCAGGTGATAATGACCTGTTCGAGGATTCCTTGGACAAACCAGATCCTGCAGGCTTCAGTTTTTCCCTAGTCCAGGCGGTTAAGCTTGCCATCATTTGGGAAGAAACTAAGGCCCCAACAAAAGAAATCCAAGAGTTACTTCCCATTTCTTAAAAACAGAGTTTCTTTCTTTCCTCTGATGGATGAAACTAGAGACATTATAGAAGAAGAGTGGAAGAAAACAGAAAAGGTCTTCTCTCAATTGCCTAAGTAACTTATATCCATCATAAGAAGCAGAGTCAATTATGTTGGATAATCCTAGTATTTGACGCAGCAGTGATCCATTTAGCAAAAAAACGTCACTCTGCCCATGCATGATTAAACCTCATATAAAGATCCCCTAGACAGACAAATAGACCTCAACTTGAAAAGAGCCTATCAGATGGCAGGGGAACACCTGTAATTCGGCAACTACGTTAACATCCGTATCCAATGCCCTATAGGTAAGGACCGACAACATAGACAGTGGTGTGGCAGGGAATCCCCAAGTAGAACATCATAATGGCTTTGGATGAGCTTAAGTTCTTATCCGACGTTATTGGCCAAACAGCTATTGATACTATTAGATGCTCTGTGAGGGTGATGCAGCATACTGTAATGGCAAAGTGGGTCTTATGGTTAAAACCGTGGGCTGCTGATGCAGCATCAAAACAAAATTGGTGTAAAATCGCATTTGATGGCAAAGCACTGTTTGAAGAAACGATAGAGAAGGCAATTTCATGGGTCAGCAGGGGGGGGGGAGCAAGACAACTACCTCAAGACAAAATCAGATGTACCAGAGGATTCACTTCCAGGTTTCAGCAGTTCAGAGGAAAAGATTTACAGGCAATCCAGACAAGGCAAGGACTCCAGGAAAGGCTGGAGAAACACACTTTTCTGAAGGCACACAAACAAAAGGCTCTATTTAATCCATAGGATTCCACTAAGTCCTTTTGACGCCAGGACATCCCAGGTGATCTCAGTCGGAGCTAGACTGAAGCATTTCGCTAAGGTTTGGTTGCAAAGGTGTAGGCATACCTGTTAGTCTCGACAGTCCAGTTTGGGCACTTTTGGACCTTCTCAAGCCAGCCTCCTCGCAACTTCTTCACCCTGATGAAGAAACCATGTAGTCCTCAGAAAGAGGAGGTGCTTCGTCAGTCCCTATATTCCCTACAAGCACAGCAATTGGCAATATCTGTTCCTCATCCATCCGAAAGTTTTTTGGGTTTTTACTCCACTCCTTCTGGTGCCAAGAAGAAAGACCGGTGGAGACCCGTAATAGACCTGAAGCAGCTAAACCTTTGCATACTCCTGGAAAGCTTCAAGATGGAGCCGCTGCAGACTATTATCCATGCTGAGCAACCTGGGGACTAGATGCTGTCAATGGCCCTTCAAGATGCCTACTTGCGCATACCCATACTTTCATCATTCCAGAAATATCTGAGATTTGCCAAATTCATCTACAACTCTAGAGTCTACCCTTTGGACTCTGCACCTCACGAAGGGTCTTAACAAAGGTTCTGATTGCAGTCCTGGCTCCATTATGAGAGTTGGGGATCAGGGTATATCATTATCTGGAAGATATTCTGCTGCTAACGAGGAATCCAGTCCAGCTAGCAGAACACATGGCAATTCTGCTATCAACACTGTCAGTCTGGCTGGGTAATAAATCAAACAAAAAGTCAACTTCTCTCAACACAACAGATGATTTACCTAGTTGCTTTGTTTGACACCTCAAAGGGGATGGTATCCCTACCACCTCAAAAGATGACAGCCATGATCCAGAGGATGAAGAAAGTGAGGACGCATTGCTGCCTTATGGCCTCGAGCTCTCTGAGCTTGATAGCGATCATGTCAGCATGCATCCCAATGGTCCCATAGGCTCACTGGCATCTGAAGCACTTTCAGTTGGAAAAAACAATGGAACAAACGTTTTGTCCCAGCCCATACGTCTAACAAGTCTGATGCACAGGGGCCTCTATTGGTGGGCAAAGGAAGAAATGCTTGGGGCATTTCTCCTGGACCATAGTTACCACAGACACAAGTACGATCGCCTGGGGGGGCACACTTCAACCAGGTCTCAGTTCAAGGAATATAGGCCTTCCATGCAGCAGAAATCATCTCGAATATTCTGGAAATTCGAGCAGCATATCTTGACAGCTTTGGTTTTTCAATTCAGAAACAAGCCAGTACTACGAATGGACAGCAGGGCTGCAGTATCATACATCCAATGCCAGGGGGGACCCACAGCAGGTCCATATTGAGGGAAGTGGAACCCATCATCCTATGGGAAGAAAAGAGTTTACCAGACCTAAGAACAGGCTATCTACTAGGCCACTTAAACATAGAGGCTGAATGTCTCGAAAGCTCCTGGACACCAACGAATGGTCTCTGAATCCCAGAATATTCAACTGAATCATGAATCTGTGGGGTCTTACAAAGCTGGATCTTTTTGGTACAACAAACAATTTCAAAGTTCCAAGATTAATTTCACGTCTGCCTCACTCCCAGACAGAAGCAACAGATTTAGAGTCCGTGGCCATGCAGGTTGGCTTATGCTTTTCCTCCCCGGCCTCTTCTCTTGAAATTCTCGTCAAGACTTGTGACAAAAGCTATATCGGTGATAGCAGTCCTGTCCATGGTTTTCTGTAGAGATGCTTCTCAGTGTCCACCCTCCAGTCAAGATTCCACTCATACCTTTTCTTCTATCGCAGGGGTAGCACACTCACCTGAATCCTCACAGATAGAATATTCACATATGGTTGTTGAAAGGCAG